GAGGGCAAAAATTCCCCGGGGTCTCTTCCAACCGAAGGTTGGCACAGAGAAGAGACTAACACTGGAGCCTCGCTATATCCGTAACACATTCCAACCCCTTTGAGCCCGAGGATCTTTAGACCCTCTCTAAATGGCGGGGCCGGGCGGCCGCCCAAGAAAGAAAGCCTTTAACTTGTTCATATAGTTCCTTCTCCCCTCGTTACGCCGATCCGAACTATAGAACCCACCGGAGGCGGGGGCCCCTGGGGGAGGAGCTCGGGCGTGCGCGCGGCGCGGACCTCGAAGAAGGGCTGGAAAGAAGTGGCGCGCGTCGGCCATGAAGGACACGGCGAGCTCCTCGAGCTGGAGGCTGCGGCGGGCGATGGTGATGGCGAGGGCGGCGCACGTGCGCGGCTCGCCCTCGTCGGCCGAGTCGTGCTGGCTCGCGGCGTCGTCTGCGTTGCCGCCGCCGCCGGCGAGGTCGAGGTCATCCTCGTCCTCGAAGCCGTCGTCGTCGTCGAGGATGGGCGTACCGTCCGGGTGTAGGACGAGGCGTTGCTGGGGCTCGTCTTCTGGGTGGTCAAAGTGCTCGAACAGGCTCAGGCGGCGGATCGTTTCGGGCCAAAAGGGGAGAAACCTCGCGCGATCTGGACGTGTCAGAGGTGGTTGTCATTTGTGTGTGTGTGTGTGTGTATGTGCGAGAGAGGAGACACAGAGAGAGAGAGGAAAGAAAGAAGGGAACCAAAACATACCCATGTCAATGACCTCTTGCGCGCCGTCGTCAAACTGCTGAAACGGCTCATAGCGCACCTCGGCCAGGCGAGGCAGGCTCGACACGAGGGTGAGCACGGCCATGGAGTCAATGTTGCGCCAGCAGCGGCGGAGGATGGAGAGCTTGGTGATGACGTCGACGCTCGGCAGGCCGTGCTGGCCCATCCAGCCCGTGTCGATGAAGGAGAAGTCGAGGTGCGAGTCAAAGTAGCGCGACTCGCCCTCCTCTGTGATGCCGGCGGCGCCCGACATGGCGAGCGTGTCGCTGGGCGAGCGCGCGCACAGCTCGACCTCGAGCCCATGGGTCTCGTCGACCTTCCAGGCGGCGAGTTCGTGAAACAGGCCGAGGATGGTGGTGCTGAAGGCAATGTCGTTGTCGGTCTGCTCGTCATCCGTCTCGGGCACCCTGGCCTTTTTCTTGTTGTACTTGGGCAGCTCGATGCCCAGCAGCAGGTGCTTCAAGTATCGCCGACGCGGGCCGACGACGAGGCTGACGAAATCGGCGAGGTCGGCGGCGGTGACGCGCAGCGAGGCAAAGTTGGCGGGCTCGACGGCGTCCTGCCAGTCTCTGCAGACGACGGCGTAGGAGGCGAGGTGGTGGGCCTTGGGTTTCTGCTGCGCCGCGGCGATGGCAAAGCTGAGGGTCAAGGCTTTGAGCTCGGCAGGGAGGCCATTCCAGCCGACCATGTCGGGGTCGGAGGAGGTCGTTTCGCTGCCGGTGACGGGGACGAGGCGCATGTGGCGCGGGGGTTCGGAGCGCTTGAGCGCCGGCTCGGCGATGAATATGGCGGCTTCAAGGTCTATCTAATGGATATGCCGAGGATAAGGAAGAAAGTCGTGCCATGTGGTTGGTATCGATGCGTGTGGATGGCGGCATGTCCAGCAGGCACAAGGAAGAAGGATCGAGGCGAGGGGGGGGAGGGGGATGGGATGGGATGGGATGGGATGGTGGGGTTGAAGTCGAGTTGAAGAGTCGAGAATGTTTATCTTATCGGTCATCGCACTGACGGCGTGACGATTGGGCGGTGAGCGCCACGATCTGGGATAACTGCTATATGGCTTACAGCACTCGACTTGACATGCTCGACTCAGGCATATCGCTGCAGGCCCTTGTCGTCCGTGTGGTCCCGGCGGATCCGTCGTCGGAACGACACACCAATGATGCGCGAGGAAACCATCTGATAAGATCATTTCTCCTGATGGCTGGCGCCTCGGCCATTGGTTCCGCTCGAGTCGGAGTGGAGTGCCAAGGAATGGCGAAGGCAGCTGCTCACATGGTTCCGACCCCAAACGTCAGACGCCCCCCCGCCAACGGTCCCCGAGACTCGTCTCTTATGCTTCTTCCCCCTACCACCACACCACTTTTCTGCTCATGCAAAGCGGATATTGAACTCCTCTGTGGGCTGCCATACCACTGCTAGCCTCTGCCGACGACGAATTCTTCTTGCTAGTCTGAGTCCAGGCATCTTGGCTCACGCCTCCGAAGTCCTTCATCGCTCATACGATCCTTCTCAACCCCACCCCTTCCCCCCCAAAAAACACTCTGCCAACTACTACTTAACCTACGCCATCCCTCGTGAGAGAGCCTCAGTCTCTCTCTTAGTGTCTGATCTGCCTACAGCCTCTCTTTCCCGCCTTGAACTCCCCCCCCCATCTCTACGTCCCGCCATGAAGTCCACCATCCTCATCAGTGCCCTTGCGGCGGCCACCCACGCCTATGGCCTCGACATGTCTCCGCCTCACCCAGACTACATCTTCGCCAACCCTGCCGTGGAGACTGCCGGCCGCCGCATCCCCACCGCCCACGAGTCGGCCGTCATGGGCCGCCGTATCCTGGCCCTCACCAAGCTGGGCCATCTCGCCACCGTCTTCCCCTCCCCGTCCTCGTCCTCGTCGTCGTCGTCGTCCTCGTCCTCCACCCGTGACCACGACGACGAGACCGAGGCACAAGACTGGCGACGTCCCGCCGGCCTCGAAGGCGCCCCCATCGGCATGATGGACTACGTCGCCGACTGCGAGTCCGAAGGCAACCCCACCATCCTCGCCATCAACATCGCCACGACCTTCCAGAACATCCGCGCCGGCTCCAACCTCTCCGTCTCCGTGCGCTGGACGCCCCCCTACCCGCCCGTCAACCGCATGATGATGGCGGCGCCTCACCATCGCGGCCACGCCATCGGTCCCGCCGGCCGCAGCTGGCTCCAACGGGCCCGCGACTACCTCTTCTCCCAAGGGCCTGCCTCCTCGTCCTGCTCCGCCTCCTCCTCGCACGACAACGACGGCGAAAAGTGCCAGTCCCACGACGACGAGCACACCCGCGGCCTCCCTCGCGACACGGTCCCCTACTCCGCCGCCAACCTCCCGCGCCTCTCCCTGATCGGCTACCTCGAGAAGATCGACGAAGCCGCCGACCCCCTCGTCGCCGCCCGCCTCGCCGCCTGCTTCGTGCGCACCCACCCGGACGCCAAGTACTGGCTCCCCGGCAACCGCATCCACGCGAGCGAGTGGGCCCGCCTCGTCGTCACCTCCGTCTACTGGGTCGGCGGCTTCGGCGACCGCGCCTACATCGGCTGGCTGCCCGTCGACGACTGGCACAGCATCACCCGCGACGAGTGGGAGGCCGTCGAGCTGCCCGGCGAGCGCGAGGGCTGGAGGGAGTGGAGCGTCGTCCCCGGCCACGAGGAGAAGGCGTTCGCCGCCGACCTCTAGGCGGGCGGCCCTGCTCGTGTTGCGTCCGAGGCTGTCCAAGTGTCCGTCGCTGCGTCTTCTCGCCTTTCTCTTTCTCGTCTTCTTCCCTTGCTGTTTGTTCATGGCCATGGATGACGGAGGTTCCATTGCTCGGGTAAGCATGTGTACATGGTGGCTAAGATTGTAAGACAGAATACATACAAATGATCATGAACACTCAAATTCCTCACGTAGTCAGACGCACTTGAACTCACACGGCCTGCTTCGCCCCCTCTCTCCAGTCGAATCCTATCATCGTTCATCGTCCATCGTAGATATCATACTTAAGTTACACCATTGCTATGCGTGCACAACTCGCTGGTCCCCTCGAAGCAAAAAAGAACTCTCAAAAAAAAAAGCCAAAAAAAATCAAAAGAAAATCAGCCAACCCGAATAATGACTTTCCAACCCAATGCTCCGGCTTCTCGAATGGCACATGCAAGACAACCCCGGCGCCGGCGCGAAATCAGAGCATTCCAACCCTTCTCCGCACACAGCGCCCGGACGAGGATCTCCATATCGCTGCCAAACTGCCTTCTCCTCGACTCAAGATGCATTTTGGCCAAGGCCAGGAAATTGCCCTGTCCACGTTCCATGACCGGAGATGTGGGCGACAGAGGCGCGTCAGATGCCGACTGCGAAGGCTGCATGACCCCCGTGATGCAGTCAATGACAAGAACACGAGGAGTCCTGTCAGTTGTCGTTGCCGGAGTTAATGACGGCCGGCGCACAGAGGCGGTTGTCAGGAGGAGCTCCTCAAGACTAGACGTCGCGATCCTGGTGAGAAGTTCCGACAGATGGATGAGGGTGTAGGTATAGTACTTGTGAAGGGGATGGCCTAGCCAGGTCAGTTCTCTGCTCGCAGTTTGCGCGGCGGCTGGCGCACACTTACCAAGAGTGTAGGTGCTACTGTAGGCCTTGTTCGTGTACGTCTCTCCCGAGACATCAATCTGCTGGATAGTCGGACTGGACGGAGACCTCACGACCTTGACGCGAGCAGATGGAACGCATGGGTGCGCCGTGACAAAGTATACGTCTTTCGACAGAGCGAAATTATACTCCTGCGAATCACCGCCCAGCAAGCCTACCGAGAAGGTAATCGATGATGGATATGTATGCAGTCTCGGGGGAGTGCCATTCTCGGAAAATGGCGTCACCATATCAGACTCGGTTGGCGTCGTGCTCACAGAGTCCACAGGCGCGTACAGATTGAGGGATCGGAGCTCGACGGTCATGGCAGGCGGCGGCTCACTGTAGCCGCTTTCGCTGGGGATGATGAAATCGGCAGGCAAAACGGAGGATGGGTCAGTGTCACCAAGCACAGATGACTGTCGCTCAATGTACGTTTTGCCCCAGAGTCTCGCCTTTTTCCCAGTGTTCTTGACGTCCTCGGGAATCTCTTCAACGTCAATGTTCAGCCAGCCGTTACCCAAGCCTTCGGGTACAATGTCGCTTGAGATCCAACCCATGCACTCAGCGGAGCCTCTGCCCGCAGCCAGAACACGACCGACGACGCACGCTGTGCTCCAGAAGCTCTTACCGCAGTACACGAATCCACCGCAGAGATTGGCCATGGGGCCGAGCTTGTCCATGGCTTCCTGATCGTTTTCCAGTAGCGTTGCCATGATCAGGTGGTACATGCCTTCGCCAGGCAACATCAGGCCAGAAACGTACGACTTGGACAGCCAACCAGAAGGGTGTAGGGCGGCAGAAATCTTGCGTCGTCTCGACGGATGGCGAGCCACGTCGGCTTCTGCGCGACCGCCACCAAAATACGACGATCGTTTCGTGTCAATGCTGAGCGGGGTTTCGTCCACGGGCGTGTGGATGGCGGTCGCTTCCGAGGCCTTGCTCACATTCTCTTTGATACGCGATGAATACGATTCCACGTCCGGCCACCGCAGCTTCCTTGCAAAATGCGTCAGCCCGTCAACCTGACGCTGAGCGTGCCGGCCCTGAATGGTATAGGCTGTCATCTTGCCCTCATGTGCGTGCGCGTGCCCACCATGGTTCATGCTCATTCTGCCCGTCAAGGAAGCCAGCCACCCACTCAGATGGTGCCGCTCGTTGTTTGCAGAAGCAGCAGCGTCAACCTCAGTTTCCACTACTTGGATGTTGTCGAGCCAGGCCCGGGCTAAATGCATCGACCATTTGACTGAGGGAGTTGCATCCTTTTCAAAGCGATGGATTTCGGTGGGCTTGATGGATTCGATGCCAAGTTCCTCGCCTTCGGTGATGGCATCGAGACGGATCAGGAGCTCGCAGGCCAGCAAAATTTGTAAAAGGAGCCAGTAGCGCTCCTCCTTCCTCTCGTCGTTGGTCTCGGCATCTTCAATCTCGACGTCCGTCTCGACATCGTCCCCCTCATACGAGCCCCACAGGATCTGGCCCAAGCGGATCCTCCACTCGACGTGGGAGAAGTCGGTCCACACGTTGGGCGTGGCCAGCACCTTCAGCAGGGCCTGGATCTGGACGGAGAGGCTGTAGGGATCTCGATGATCCACGACGCGCGTGGGCGGATGCAGGATGCCGAGAAAGAGCTCGTTGTACAAGGTGCTTGAGATGTTCTTGTGGATGCGTTCCGTCATGTACCGGTCACTGTTCTTGATGAGCTGGTCCAGGATAGCCGACTCCTCGAGATGACGCAGTCCGTCTTTGGACGTCAACATTCTTTGACGCTGCTCCATGATGGCTTTGGCCTTGTGACCGACGCTGTCAAACCCAAACTGCTCCTCCTGCAAGGCATCGGCGACGGAGATCTCGAGCGCCGCCTGGTAGCCCATGGTCCCCTTCTCGAGCCCCTGCATGCTGAGCATATTAGGCCGCTCGCGGCATCGCGGGTAAAAGTGGGCGCGCTTCTTCTTGACACTGGACGTCGAGGCATTGGAGTCGCGGCGGGCGAGGGAATCGCGGCGGGCATCGCGGGTGATGTGGGGCCAGGCCGTGATGCTGCTCCAGGCGGCATCCTCGACCTGTACGCGGTCGCAGAGGTCTCGAATCTCGAGCGTCTCATCCCATGGAAAGGCAACGGACGGGTGAGGGGCCCCGGTAAAGTGGCCCTCGGAACGGGCGAAGAACTGAGGGGCTCCCGAGAAGAGCTTCTCCACGTCAGACTCGCTGAGACAAGCCATGATTTTGCCGAGCCTCAGTACAGGTTTTGCGGTGGGTGAGGAGCCAGAGCCAGAGCCAGGGCCATTGGTGTCCTCGGCGTCCGGGGGAGGCGGGAAAGGAAGGGGTTTGTTCGAATTGGGTGGTGATCGGGCTGTCGGGGTCTGAAACTAGGAATTAGATGGGATTTTGGAATGCGCTTCAAGGTTCAGACGATGCAGATGGGAAGTCAATGGGGGATTCAAACACAACTTGTCCGTCGAGGGGCATGGGACGACGAGACCGAACGACAGACGTTGTGAGAGTTGGAAAATGGGGTAGTTGTTTCGAGAAGAAGATGGAGTGAATTGGTGCCAGCCAGAGCTTGAGGTGTCGAGGGTCACGGGAGGGGAAGTGCAGAGACGTGGCAGGGGATCGACGGCGTGGAATGGGTGCCAAGAAGGCAACAGCCGGGCACACAGAGGGGTGGTCTGATGATCCTTTGTCTGCGCCGGGTGCTGTTCCACTACTTCTTCACTCGTACAGAAGTGAGAGTGCCGCGTCGTGCCGCCGTGGCTAAGGTGGTGGTCGCTGTACCATGTAGTGGTTGGGGTGAGGGGAACCCAACGGCACGATGACATGTTGTGGCTCGACTCTTCGACTCGCCCTTGACTGCTAGAGCGTCGGTGCAGGTGCAGGTGCGGGTGCGGGTGCAGGCAGGCACAGGTGCAGGCAGGCACAAGTGATGGGTAACAGGTAGTGGGTAGTGGTATTGGTGGTGGAGGGGAAGTGCTACCCAGTAGGGCAGTGCGGGGCTTCTGACATGGAAGTGGGGGGGGCCATCAAGTGGCCCTTGGCTCCTGGCTCCTGGCTCTGGCGCGGGTTCTGGATCTGGATCTGGGGCTGAACTTACAGGGCCGGCAGGTTGCTTTACAGTGGGTCGAGCCTTCTTCCTCTGTTTCTCCCCACTTCGGCTGCTACTGCCATTTCCTTTACTTCCGTGGCCGCGCCGGCCGCCACTTCCCGATGCCTTGGTTGGGCCGCCGGATGATGGTGCCTGTGTCGTCGAAGTCTGTATCGAAGTCTGTATCGAAGTCTGCGTCGAAGTCTGCGTCGAAGTCTGCGTCGAAGTCTGCGTCGAAGTCTGTGCTGCTGCCGTTTTTGGTCGTGCTTGCGTCGGGCCCTGGGACGAAGCGCTGGAGCCCGGCCCGGCTCGTCCTCTGGTTCGGTTCAAGAAGTCCTGGATGATCTCCCGCTTGGTGCCGCGTCTCTCACGCTCGCTACCGCTCTCGCCATCATTGTTGCTGTCCGGCGAAGTTGGTGCCGTGCTGGGACTGTCGGCTGACGGGCCACCACCTCTGGTTGCGTTTGTTTCGCCTCGCTGCGACTGCAACCTGGAACCGCGCCTGAGGATCGAGAGGGACGGCATGCCAATCTGTGGCTCGTCGGGTGCTTCGCGCTTGGCTTGCCTCGTGCGTGAGCCACAGGTGCTGGCGCGAGACTAGCAGCCAGTTGGTGTAAGTGGTGTAGAGGGCGATGCTGGCGGGCGAGAGGCGTGAGGCGTGAGGCGTGAGGTGCGAGCCGCGAGGTGCGAGGTGCGAAGAGGTGAGCGATCAGCAGGACGCAGAAAAGGACGAGAAAGGCAACATGTAAACAAGATATCCAGCAGATTTGGAAAAGCTCTTTTGGCGAAGGAAGGGGACGGGGGCAAGAAAGGGTTCAAGGACGTGAAACATATGGGAAGTCAAATGGGCCGGCCAGGCCTGTCTGATTGTGTCCTGCTGGCGGCTCACACTCAACTTGCAGAAACCTGGAAACCTGATCTTTGTGCCTCACCACCAAGTGTCCATCCTTTCAGTTCCGCCTTGCTCAACCTTAGTTTCAACACGACCCAACGAACCCATGTCACTGCAACCCCCCTCTCCTGCGCCCCCCAGCACACCTAGTCAGTGGCGCCTAGGCCCTTTGCATGAGAACTGTTGGCATGTTCGGGGGGGGAGGGTTGACGTCTGCAACACAGCAACTCCTGATCGTCGTGGACGGACGGGTCCCATCGCACATCATTATCCTGGGAGGTGCTTCGGGATCGCTGGTTTGGCATCGCGGGGCCACGGTGTTGGAAGCGTGGGAACATGGGGGGCACCGCAGTCGTCTCAGATCCGGATCCTCGTCATTTGCAATCTCCAGCGCACTCGACGTGTTTGTCGAGCCTCCACTTTGGCTCCCTAAATCGCTAGAACTCGCTAGCCCTGATGCTAATTTCAGCACATTGTGGACTCGGCACTCGGCGACGTCGCTGGAGCTGGAGGGCAGGGACCGCGAACCTCCGTCAATCTGGCTTTCTCCATGGCGAGCATCAGATAGTAGGTACCCACCATCTACTCAACGTTCACGAGGTACATGTAGGCACCTTACCTTACCTTACCTTACGTACCTAAAGGTAGGTGGGCGCGTCTACACAATGCCACAGCTCGGTATGAACACTACGTTTCTTCCTGCAGGGCCCCGCCACCCGTCGCTATGCTTGTCTGGACTCATCTTATTCTTCAGTCCTTCTGGCAGCCGCACAACCGCGTCCTCTCATAGGTACCCCTCACCAATGGATTTCTGCCTGTCTACAAGTGGGCGAGCTGACGATCAAAAGGGGAAAAGGGACGGGGGACCGTCACAGCTTCCTTTTTGCCAAGCGGCAGACCGCCCTCAGATCGGATCAAGCCAATCTGACCCAAGCCTGACAAATCGGCTCCATTACCAGCATCTTCAGCTTCAGCCCTGGACGCCTTGGAAGAATGGAAGAAGGAGGGTGATGCCACCAGTATCAGATGACCCCTTCATCAACCTAACACACTCCCACCCTCATTTCCCACCAGCACGCATGACGTCGCCAACCCCTGAAACACAAAACCACGACACGGCATGTGAGGGCACGGCACTGTGGCGCACTTCACCGCCAGCGAGCACCCTCAAACCTACGAGCGGCAGTGTCAAGCTAGGATTCAGACTGCGACACCACACCCTTCTTGTCGTGACGCCCAACCGCGTCGACCGTCGCCTTCGTACGATACGATACAATGCATCAAATCGAAGTGGCCACACATTGTGCCGCCAACCAACGGCATGAAGATGCGCCCTTAAGGCTGCGCGCTATATCATCTCGCTTCGCGCGACATGGGTTCCCGCGCCGTTCTCCAGGCGGCAGAATAGGAGAGTTTGAAAGCAAGTTTGGTATGGGGTATCTCTCGCTCGACGCCGTGCCTTGCCCGTCACGCTGCGCTGCGCTGCCAGCCCTGCACCCGCCACCCAGCGTCCAGCTTCTGACGCCCAGACTGCCCGCCAACGTGATTGTGTATTTTGTGACCATGCTCGTACCCTTGCCTAGGGCATCCTGTGGGTAGCCATTGCGATGCACGAACTTCCGTTCCCCTCCTCATGTCCCTAGACCAGTGCCATCTGCATCGTCAGGCCGGCGGCGTGTCGTGGACGACGATCATCAAATATCTCGCGTCGGGAACAATCACCAACTCTTGCTTCTTCGTCCTCAGTCGCAGAAGCTTCAGCTCGTCCTGCCGTTCCCCTGTTAGCACGGGTTCTCTCGCTCCCCCTCTCTCTCCAGTGTTCTGTCAGGCACATGTGTAGTGGCCCTGCTCACCTCTGCATCCAGCTCCTCGACCAGACTACCCGAGGCGTTCACCCAGGCCCACACCTTGGCCGCGAATCCGTCGAGCGCCTGTCCCTCCCCGCCCGGCGCTGCAGCAGCGCTGCCCTGCCCCGACCCTGCGAGCGCTGCCGCCGCCGCGTTGAGCGTGGACAGCTGGCCTGTGGTGCGCAGTATGGCGCCTGAAGCGCGGTCGAGGACGACTGTCGCCTTGACGCCTTGTTTCTGGGAGAGTCGGGTGAGTTTCTCGTCGAGGGCGTCGTGGCCGTTGGTCTGTTATGTCAAGGGTCAGCCTGCGTGTGGGAGGGGGTAGATGGTAGGCTGGAGCGTGCCGTGAGGGTGTCGACCATTGTGGGATCTCGTGTCCTCTTTCAAGTCCGTTGGGCGTCAGCAGGGCGAATTGAAATAGGAGCGACCGGCAGCGGAAAACAGGGTGCAATCTGGATGTGTCTGGGCGATGATCGATGGAGGTATGGTGGTAGCGGGACACCTAGAACACCGGCCCAAGCTCCCAATGGTGGGGGCGCCCCTCGGGTCATATTCTGCCGCAGCTCACCGCCAAAAGTTTCCATGCAAGATCCTTTCGATGTGATGGACCGAGGACCGGCTGTTGAAAGTCGGTGATGAAAGCGCATCAGCAATTCGCCGTAGCTTCATCTCATTGGAAAATCAAATTCTCTAAACCCATATTCCTTAATATCAGATCAATATACTCTCATCAAAATGGGCTCCAGCATGCGGAAGAAGAAGGAGAAGGCGAAGGACTTCCAGGTATGAGAATGCCTCGACGAGCTCAGCAGCCAAGCTGCGGACAACAGCTCCGGTCATCCCTTGTTCGCCTGCCAGTCCACTGACGATACAACAGAAAACGAAGTTGAAGGTCGGCAAGGCCAAGGCCAAGCCTGCCAACTTCACCGATACCAGTTTCAAGTCAAAGTCCATCAGCATGGGCCACCAGAGCCTCTCCACGGAAGCACCAGAGACAGCCGCCCAGTTCAAGCACAGCCTGTCGCTCGCCACGACGTCCCGCTCTGAGAAGACGCGCCGCGAGGCGCTCGCGAACCTGACGACGCAGGTCGCTTCCGGCAGCAACCCCATCGGAACCGCCACCGTGCTCGCCAAGGTGTTGCCCCTGATTTCCGACGCCGCAGGACCCGTACGCCTTCAGCTGCTGAAGCTGATACAAGAGCTGCCCGAAGGAGAGATCAGGAATCACGCCGAAAGGTGCGTCATGTATGTCCGGGCCGGCATGACCCACCTCTCCGTCGACATCAGCAACGACGCCCTCTCCGTCCTGGACTGGCTGCTCACGGTCGCCCCGGATGAGACCGTGTCGTGCCCTGGCGGGTGGGTGAAGACGATCAACAGCTTCTGCGCTCTCATGGGCTGGTCCGTGTCTGCGGCCAAGGGCTGGACGGCGGCGCCCAAGGCCGGGTTGAAAGCCAAGGATGCCGAGTCTCGCACGCGCCAGTTCAACGTCTTGACGAAACTTGTCGAGGTCGGTCTCAAGGCCGAGGCGTCCCTGCAGAGGAACGCAAATGCCTACTGGGACAGCATCTACCGCGTTCCTCGCACGCCACACGCCTTTGCGTATCTCAACCTGTTCGGATCCAGACGCGACGAAGAAGCCGAGATGTACGAGGACCGAGAATCGCGACAGCGCGTCTTCAACCGAAGATTCGAGGCGTCTTTCGCCAAGGGGATCGAGCAGGCCAAAAAGGAGGGGGGTACTGTTGGGCGGGCCGGCTCGTTGCTTGAAAAGGCCATGAGAGATGGCATGCAGGGGTTCGAGCCGACGACAGCGGTCGATCCACAAGATCTTCTTGATCTCTGGTGAGCTTGTTTGAGCTGTCATTCTCGAATCATCTCATGAGGGTCACCATACCCGGCTTCCCCGGCAGCCTATTGGTGCCTGCCTGTTGGCGAGGCTTTCTGGATTCAAAGGCTTGGAGCGACTTCCAATGCCCATATTGCACAGGGATAGTCATGACCTAAAACACGACTTGCGTGCGGACAGGACGAGGGGCATGGCCTCTGGTCGAACTGCTCCGCCATGATCTTGATCCGTTTGATGCCTTGGCTAGGCAAACTCATGTCAAGTCGGTTCGCCACTACGGCGTTCCCTGGTCACCCGCTAAACCAAGCCCGAGCGTGATCTCTATCGCCCCTCGCGTGGCCATCAGCCAGAGACATTTATCGGCATCAATCATTCGATAGCCCCATACGTCGGCCTCGAGTCGGTGTCATCAGTCCTACAGCCCTTGAAGTGATGAGAGTCAGTACCTTGGGCCCGGGTGTGACAGCCCGCTAGACATTAATTAAGCTATTGAACGCCATCCGGGGCCTCACTGATCATAACGCGGTGTACGAATATTATTGTGAAGGGCGTTTTCATCTTTGTCGACTGCAGTGCCCTCTTTGAGGCCAATCAGTTACCCCTTATGACCACGCACCGGTGCTGAAAGTAACAACCGTGCAGCAGCTCACACAAGACGGGTCCAATCATCAAGGGAATAAAAAAAAAACACAGGCTGATGAAGGCATCGTCGCCCTTGCTGGGTGAGGTAAGCACCAGCGGTTGACTTGCCCGCTCTAATCGACGATACCGCTGGTAGTACCTTCCCGGCGTTGGGGACAAAATAGGCACCATCATACCACGGAGCCTTTTGCGTGGCCCACGTCTCCCAACGACCTTCTTCCTCTTCTTGTTTACCTGGTGGGTGTCTCATCTGTCCATCTTCACCATCGTCACCACCACCAGTTTCTTGCGCATCAAGAGACCACGCCATCCCCACAGTCTCTTCCCAGACCAGCACTCTTGATATTGCGAAGAGGTATGTATCCTTTCTATTTTTCGTCAGGCGCTTATTCAACATCGTCCAACCCACCAGAGTTGCTCATTGTTTCCTTCTGCCCTTTCCCGGTCCCTGTTCCCCATTCTTCACCAGGCAACACTTCACTCTGTCTGCCTCTCAACGACCTCATGAATGCCCGGACATCAGCACGTTCACATATATAGCATCAGTTCAGCTGATCCTGTGGACCTTCCAAGTCCTCCTACCTCGATATTGTTTTTCGATCCGCTGACGTCTTCCGCCAGTTAGTCGCGATCTGTCGAGTCAACGTCGAGGTAAGAAGCCATCTCTTGCCCCTGGCCCTAAACATATGCGTCATTAAGCCTTGCCACGCTCTTTCCTCGCGTTTCCATTACGGCTCCTTCTATAAGGCTTAGTCTAACATTTCCTTCACTTAGGCAGCGCGATCGCATACACCATCGAGAATGTCTGACTCCATGGATACGGGCACTCTGCGAGCTGCCCTGCCCGAAGGCAGTGCCCAGCAGCCCCAGGGCCGTTCCGAGCACGCGGAGAAATGGGCCAATCCGCTTCCGTACGATTACGAGGAGCTTGCTCAACAGGGCCCTGAGGTCCCGGTCAATTGGGAGAGCAATGCTCGTGTCTATGAGTTTGACATGGAGCAATTCGGCGACGTGGGACCTGAATTTCCCGAGCTCGAATTGCAACTCTTCGGCCCGCCCGCCGAGCGTGGTCTCAACAATACTGGAATCTCGTATGATCGGTACGCACGAAAATGCTCTATGCTCCTTGCTGCTCTTGCTAACAAACTCCAGAATCACCGAGATCGAGGTCCAGCAGCGCGGCGATGTGCGAATCGAGCCCATCAAAGACTTTGCCAGCGCAGGCTTGCACCCTACCATGCTCAAAAACGTCGAGATGTCGGGATACCGCGTTCCTACTCCCATTCAGCAGTACACATTGGCTGCTGTTCGCAAAGGCTTGGATATTGTGGCCATCGCCCAAACTGGTCGGTGTCTTTGCCTGTGACCCTCCTCTGCTCACCGTACTAATATGTCGATCAGGTTCTGGCAAAACTGCAGCCTATCTCGTCCCCGTCTTGGATAAGCTGATGGGCAAAGCCAAAAAGTTGGCGGCTCCTCGACCAAACCCAGCATCCTTTGTACCCGGTGTTTCGCAGCCCGTTCGTGCCGAGCCACTTGTCATTGTCGTATGCCCAGCTCGTGAGCTGGCGGTCCAAATCTTCAACGAAGCTCGCAAGTTTTGTTACCGCACCATGCTTCGCCCTTGCGTCACCTACGGCGGAGGCCCGATTCGCGACCAGATCGAGCAGCTCGGCAAGGGCTGTGACATTCTCATCGCCACTCCTGGCCGTCTCTGTGACTTCATCGACCGCCCTCATGTGCTCACACTTCGTCGGGTCCGGTACATGATCATTGATGAGGCCGACGAGATGCTTCACGATGACTGGGGCCAAGACCTAAATACCATCATGTCTGGTGGCGGTACGTGACCTTCCTCGCAGTGGTTGAAGCTTTACTGATTTGGAACTCTTCTTTCCAGAGCAGGAAGAGGGAAACGTCAAATATCTCCTCTTTTCTGCTACTTTCCCAAAGGACCTTCGGGATCTGGCTCGCAGCCATCTGGCTGCATCGCATAGCCAGATCAACGTGGGGCGCATTGGCAGCACCCATGGAAACATTTTGCAGCGGGTTGTGGAGGTCCTCCCCGAGACGAAGAGAACGGTTCTCAAGGAGGTCATTGAAGCTCTCGATCCATGCCGGACCATCATTTTTGTAAACTCAAAGCGAGCTGCCGATGAGCTCGACGACTTTCTGTTCAACTCAGGCTACCCGTGCACTTCCATGCACTCTGACCGTACCCAGCTCGAACGTGAGGGCGCCATGCGTGCGTTCCGCGCCGGAACCTCGCCTATTCTCGTCGCAACTGGTGTCATGGCCCGTGGCATTGATGTACGCAACGTCAACCACGTTATCAATTACGACCTTCCCTCTGTCGATCATGGTGGAATCGAGGAGTATGTCCACCGAATTGGTATGTCTAGATTCGAACGATTGCCTTGCGCTTGCTAATCACCGCCCGTTCTCCCAGGTCGCACTGGCCGCATTGGTCACAGGGGCATTGCCACGTCTCTCTACTGCGCTGATCGAGATGATGGCATCGGCAGCGTGCTTGTACGAACCCTCCTCGAGACGGACCAGGAGATTCCCGATTTCCTTCAGGTCTTCATGCCCGAGGGCGATGATCTTGAGAATCTCAAATGGGAGACCGCCTCCAACGAGGAGGACCGTCCTGCTGGTGCCGCCGGTCACGGCGGTGAGTCCTTTGACGAGGGTGGAGACGATGCCTGGGGTAGTGGCAACGCCGACGGAGATGAGGACAACGGCGGAACCGCCAACAATGATGACGATGGCGGATGGGGCAAGAAGAATGACGATGCTGGCAACAAGGAGTCCGCCGCAGATGGCGGTGATGCCTGGGGCGCTCCTGCCGCCGCCGCCGCCTGGTAAGGGGGTCATGATGCTTCTGGACTTCAAACTTGGGTCCTCAAGAGGACGCGGTTGCCCAGTCCACCTTTCACTACCGAGGGGAAATGTCGTGGTGATATGAGGTGATCGAACGGAGTGTCTAGGCAGAAGACTCTGCAAGATAGAGACTCGAATGGTATAAGACTTCAGGGCGCCTGGTGATACGCTTGTTAAGTGACATGTGCCCAACTGTACATAGGTAGGGTGACTTGGGTGACTGGAGCGTCACCCGCTGGTTGGTCGGCCAAGTCTGCATGGACAGTCGACCGAGTCACATGCTCGATGGGCGCGT